CACATATATATATATATATTTATATAAATATATATATATGTATATATATATATATATGTGTAGGTATTAATTCAAGATAAGCATAATTAAATGTAAGCTATAGCAGAATGAGAAGAAAAATGTTAAGGTTTACTCGTGCTAGGAAATAAACATCAAATTTTAAAAGGAAATCTATATTAAGTTATAATTTAAATTAATCTAATGACGCCTAGAGAGAACAAATGACAGACGGCACGAAAAAACAAACGAACATATAAACGACAGGCGAATGAATAACGGACGACGGCTCACGGTGCTGCCCCCTTGCGGCTGTTTCAGGCGATTCTCAACCCGCTACAGGCGTTTCTCAACGTGCTCGTCTACAGCGGCTGGCGCAGCTGGCGCCACCTGCAGTGTCCGTGCGCACGGAAGCGTGCGACGCCCGTCCGCATTCTTGCCGACTCGCTGCTTCGCGACGAGACGTCCATGCTGAGCGCAAGCTTCGGTAGCGCTCCCGCGTATGGGAGCTCTAGTACTGAGGTGCCCAACACCCTCACCCTATAATAGTAGGGAGAGAACACCCTCACCCTGTGATGGTAGAGAGAGGAACCCTTCACCCTATAATAGTAGAGAGAGGAACCCCTCACCCTATGATGGTAGAGAGAGGAACCCCTCACCCTATGATAGTAGGGAGAGAATTCCTTCATCGTATCGTGATAGGTGGCGCCCTCTCGTTTGCGTTTATCGTCTTATTCCCAAGCGGACAAGCAACTTATTGGTTTGTGAATTCCGGTGAACATGCGATACCGGTGCGAACAGTATGAAGCTCTGTGGTTCCTGCTGAAATCTTATTGGTTCGTGAAGTCCCATGACCATGCGGCACCGGTGTATATGGCGTGTAAGGTGTTTTATGTATGCCGAAATATTATTGGTTTTAAAAGTAGGGTGATGTCACTTAGCTGCTGCTTGTATTCCAAACATTCTGCAAAAACCCGTGGAATCTTAGCTGAAAAGCTTTATATGCAGGTGTTTAATTGTTTTATTAGATAGGTATAGTGATTAGTATATATATATCGTAGGGTAGTTTTGTATGTTCTTATTGAGATTCTTAAAAAGGATTATATGTTATGTAGGTGTTTAATTGATGTATTAGAGAAGTAGTACATATATA